TTAAACAAAATGTAAGAGTACCAAAGTAGCCTATGCTAAAGAAGCCCTGTTATAAATCCATTAAAAAAGCAATTGATTCTTTCCTTTGCAATATTGGTTCCCTCTGTATTGGGTCTGTGTGTTGACTATTATATTTGAGACTTTATTATAATGAAACACATCTCCTCTGCCACCCTCAGTGTTTTTTCCTTTCTTTTTGCAGACGTGCAGTGAGAAGGGCACCAACTTACATGACTATGGCATGTTGCTGCCCTGTGGAATCGACAAGTTCCGAGGGGTAGAGTTTGTGTGTTGCCCTCTAGCTGAAGAAAGTGAAAATATCGATTCTGCTGACGCAGAGGAGGATGACTCAGATGTCTGGTGGGGTGGAGCAGATACAGACTATGCAGATGGGAGGTAAGGTGGCCTCTGTGTTTGGTCTCATAGATGTTGAAACATCTTGCATATAGTTGTTGATTCTTCTATAAATCTATCCTTCTGTTTCTCACTAAAAGTATCTCTGCCCACTCCAGTCAGCGTTTGCTGTTATGGAAAAAAAATCTAACCCTAAAGTCCTGTTATGATTATAGCATGCTGTTTAATTTTAATATAATTGATCGACCATCATAGAGTTAATTTAAAGTATTTTGTTTTAATCTCAAGAGTTGGGATCAAAATCCAACTGATTATTATAGTAGGTTGCTGGTGAAATCTGAAATGAATTCTGTTTTGGTCTGTAACTTAGAAATATTTTTAAAACACTATTCTAAGGTTGTCAATCAGCTTAATGTGAATTTTTGTTAAGAAAGCTTTGGGGTTTTTGTTGTTTTCTTGTGAGTGGGTTTTTTTTTTTTTTTTTTTGCCTTTATAATCATTTTTTTCTTTGTGACTGGAAGTCAGAGGCATTCATAAATGTTTGCTACAGTTTTTTTAAGTGTTTCGTGGTTGTTAAGAAACCTATTTTCACCTCTTTTTGAGGGATCTTAATCTCATAACTTATTATCTGATTCACGTTCTTAATTGAAGGCAAACATCTATATTGAAAAAATAGGATTATAAAACCAGAATCTTTGGGTTAGAAATCCTTTCTGGTTCAGTCATTGGTTTCATGGCATATCATCCCCCAAAAGGTGATGGTTATCACTTCTTTCTCCTTCAGTGTACTCTGAGATGCTCCCTAGAGTTACAGATTTCCAAACATTACATTAAATATGGATGGCAAGATTTATAGTTATTAATATAAAGTTTTCTGACTTTAGGCATAGATTTTCTGCATGAGTACATAATATATTTTGTAAAAACTTAAAAATAATTTTGCAAATAAAAAGAATCTATGTATACTTAGAAACCCTAGCTGTTGCTTCTTACCAGTTAATAAAATGAGACTTCTTTTTAGTGGCTATTTTGTAATTTTATCAGGACTTGTCTTTTGTTAGTTTAAGCTCTTCTGTGTTCTCTCTATACCAGGTTTAAAAAAAAAATTATAATCAAATAAAAATAAATTTCAAAGGATGAGGTGAAGAAATAAGCAAAAAGGAAACTATGCTTGCAAGATTTCCCTTCACTTGTAAAAGTTGAAGGTTAAATGGTATAACCCCTTCTCCCAGGGTAGGAAACATCAGTGATACAGGATTTGACAATGGGAAAGCTTCTGAGCTTTTTCCCATGGAATTAATTAGTGGGGTTCCATGCCCTGGCCAGTTCTCTCACCTGCATGCCACATGCCGGCTATAGAATGTCTACTGGTTTGGGTTTAATTGCTGCTTTGATGGAAAGTGGAGTTGTCTAGTTCTCATTTTTTCATAGCTGATCATATTCTTCATCAGTCATATCCAGATTTGACAGTTTCACGTGACTTTAAAAAAAATTCTTGGCATGAGAGCTCTGAGCACATGATGCTGATGCAATTAAAAGGAGAAATTTCAAATTGGACAGCATTTTTCTGTGTTCATAGGCTGTCGGATACTTGATTTGATAAATTTCTATTACTGAAGACTGTGTGCTGAGTAAAAAACCCACATCATGGCGAGCAAACGAGGATGCTCCATGGCCAGTGCTCAGATTCTAAGGAACTGATGTGTACTTGTAACCTTGTGTCCATGTTGGTGGCCTGCCATTCATGATCACTCATATACAAGGGACTTTCGGAATTAAAAATGGGTATTTTGTGTTATCCTGAGAGCGACAGGGCTTTACCAGGCCCTCTTTCCCATTTAACATGTTTTATTTGTCTTATAAAATCTCCTTTTTATTGGAAATAGATTTCAGTATGTCTTGATCTTTTCTTCCTACTCTCCCTCCAACTTATTGACTTAATTGAAAGCATTACTAATATGACTTCTTAGGAAACCATTTCCTGCATTCGTTCTCACTCCTAGAAATAGGTCCACGGGGCTTCCCTTTCTGTCCCTGAGAACCTTGTTTGGTTATTACTAACCGTACATTCTTTGATATCCATCTCTCTGGTTGTACCTCTACTCTCTGTCCTCATCATTGCAATCACCAAACTACAGGATATTGTTTTTTGTTTTTCAGACAAAAAATGATTTTTTTTTTCATTTTAATTTACTATATTGCATTCTACTAGGGTAGCCATATAGTCAATTACCCAAACCTGATGGGATGTTAGGATCACAGTCATAAACTGAAAGACCCAGATAAACTGGGTCATATGGTAACCCTACCTATTACTGTCTTCATTGATATCACCATCCAGGTTGCATCCAGTTGAAATGCTAGCCAGTTCCTTCCCAGTCACCTTCATTTATATTGCATTTCAGCTACCTGCAACGCAGTCATTCCTTGGACTCTGTCATCTCTTGGAAATACTGCACCCATAGGGTTTCCTGATATGACATTTCTCTCTGACCGTGATCTTCTGATCTTACACCGAAAACTCTCATCAGGTCCAACTGAATTTTGCCCCTTCCTCACGGTCACCTCCCCAGTTTAGGCTTTTAGTCCATTATCCTTTTATTTTCACTCCCAGCCTTTCTAATCAGGATGAAATCAATGGATAACCATTTTTACATATCCTTTTGAACATCTTGGCTTCCCTGATGCCCTTCACATTTTCTAAGCATTTTTGTAAATTCGTCGAATCAGGGAAAAATTAATTTCTTCCTTTAATTGCTTCTGGATTTTCTAAAGTATCAAGTCACGTAACTCTACCAGTTAATTCCATTTCTTATTCATGCTGTAACATCACCTGGGATCTTAATGTTACTAGATGCACCTAATTATCCCCATTTGATGATCTATCATCTTCCACGTAGCAGTTGGTGGTTCCACCTGGCATTTGATATTTGATGGGTGCTCAGTACATGTTGACTAAATTAATGAATTTTCCCTTCTGTGTCAACATCTCTTGTACATTCTTCCATTCTTTTGTTTCTGTCTTCCCTTTTATGATTATGTTCTGCTTGGACTCTTGATCACTTCTTCTCCCTTTCTTATATTTTCAGTCTTCCTTATCATTGGCTTCTCTACCTGCAAACCTCCTGTTTCCTCAACTACCACTGCCTGAACTCGGGTCACCATTACCTCATGCTAGACTAACTTCTTTGATTACCTCTTGCTACATCAATTCCTCCCTTTCTTCTGTTACCTTTGTTTTTTTGTTTGTTTTGTATTCTTGTAGGACTAATTCAATCATACCTTGACTTTTATTCCCATTACTTGGAATTGATGCTATTCCCACACCCTCCCCCAGGTTTCATCTACTCCCTTCTCAGATAATACTTCTCCATGCCTTAGTAAACTTCCTGCTTTGCGTTTCCAATCCTGTTGACACTTGGTAGGAAATATTTGATGGTTTCTGTTACCTACAGAAAAGTACAAATTCCCCAACAAGGCATTCAGAACTCTCCGTTACTTGGCGCCAGTCTGCATTTTCAGCCTTCTCATGTACATCACTTTGTCTAACAACACCCAAAGCCCCTTGCCTTTTCTTTTCTTTTCTTTAGGCTTTTGTTCCCACCATTATACTCCTTTTTCATTAAATGGGGTTTGTGTTTGACAAAGCTACTTGTCAACTGTAAAGTGCTATGTTTTATCATGACCTGTCAGAATCCTATATATTTTTAAGTTTTTTCATCTGAAAAGATTCCTCCTTTACAAGTCTTAACAAATGCCTTGCTTTTCTATTCCACTCTTCCTTTGCTTTGTGTTCTTATAAGACTCATTCATATCATGACTTGTCTTCCAGTTGGTTGTAGTCATATCTCTTTTTTTATCTGCTAGAATCCAAATAGTAATTCATGAGCTGGTATTTTTTGAGCATAAATATTAGCTAAATTGAATTGTATATTTTTAAAGTTTTTCATAGCTTTTGGTAAGGAATTTGTGGTCCATAATTGGACTTTTATAGAACCTCCCATGTTTTAGTGCAGAGTTGTCCACTGGAAAAATCATGTGAGCCACGTATGTACTTTGATGTTTTCCAGTAGCTACTTTTTTTAAGAAGTAGAAAGAAACAGGGAAATTTAATTTTAACAACATATTTTATTTAATCCAGTATATGTTAAGTATCATTCCAGCATGTAACCAATATGAAAAAGTTATTAATAAGATAGTTCACATTCTTTTTTGTTTCTTTCTTTCATACTAGGTCTTCAAAATCCAGCACATATATTAACACTAACAGCATGTCTCAGTTTGAACTAGCCACATTTCAAATGCTTGATGGTCATTTGTGGCAGTGTATGTAGCTAGTGGCTCTCGTATTTGGACAGTGTGGCTCTAGATAACATGAAATTTCTTATCATTGTTGACTTTCCATTAAGACAAATGGTTTATGTAGCCATGTAATACATTCTAAGGTTGAACCACTGAACTTCTATTATTTTTTTTTAACTGTATATTTTCAACATTAAAAAAATTGATTTTAACTTAATATAAGTAGGATATCGGGTCACTTGCATTGTTGATTTTCAGATGACTCTTTCGGTAGCCCTGCAGGCAGATATGCCTTCTTCCTCATCAGGCACAGGCAGTGGACAGAGCAAGAGATTTATTGTATCCCTGGTCCATGCACCAGCTAGGCTCCTGCTAGCTGGCAGCCTCCTAGTTCCAAGAACCAGCCCTCCTTGTGACACTTGAAATGAAAAATCAGGATAGGAATTTAACACACCTGACTTAAAATGTCCTCAGGGAACACTATATGACAGTTCTTGAAGAGGGAGAAAAGAAGAGGAACTGTGATCCTCCCCAAATGAAATTAGATATACCGTTCAGTGTACTTTGTTGGTTGGTAGGTAAGGAGACTTGTTTTGGTAAAAGACATTGTTTTTCTAATGCCAATGAAGCATTTAGAGAAACATTCCTTGTGGCTGAGCTCTGTTTTATGACCTTATTGAAAAATAGGTAAATCTTTTAATGTGGACAAAACAGGTATTGTTCCAAAACTTTATTTGTAA